AGATGTCCGCGAGACAGACAGACGAGACGTCCGCGAGACAGACGAGACGTCCGCGAGACAGACAAGACGGCCGCGAGACAGACAAGACGACCGCGAGACAGACAGACTAGACGCCCGCGAGACGGACAGACTAGACGCCCGCGAGACAGACAGACGAGACGCCCGCAAGAGAGACGAGACGTCCAAGAGACAGACGAGACGTCCAAGAGACAGACGAGACGTCTCCATAATGAGACACCATCAGACTTCCTGCTCACCTGAGGCTGCAGCAGTGTGCTCTCTGCTGATTGGCTCTGCTCAGGTGTCCCTTTACACGTGACCTCCTCTTCGCCGAGGCGGACCTTCGGTCTGGCCCCGCCAACCTCGTTGGATGTAGCAGGAGTGTGATCGGCTGAGGTTTGACTGATGTCCAAACCGGCCAATCCCTGAGTGAGCTGCTCGAGGCTGGTCTCCGTCTGATTGGACGAAAACACAAAAATCAGATCTCATTGTTTTTTTCCCTTCAGATTTTAATCTCATTAAACCTCATTTACCGTGAAGTCCTCCAGGCCTGCAGAGGGCAGCGGAGGTTTGTTTGTGTTGCTTGTGTCTGACTTCCTGCCCTTTCCTTTAGAACTACGTTTCTCACGATGCTTCAGGGCCGGCAGGGACGATCGCAGCGACTCTGAGACTGAATGAAACGAGAAAGTTAGATGTGTGTACTTGAAACTAAACAGGATCAATTAATATACAACAGATGAAGTCCTGTACTGACTGCTTATCCTCAGCGACATCCAGTAGGGGGCGTGGTGTCGGATGACCTCGTTGATCGTTACTATGGCACTGTGATGAGGAGGGGGGGGGGGAGTCACTAAGGAGGGAGGAGGGTCTCCTAGCAACACACTGGTGCACATCGCCATGGAGTCAGAGATGGACGACAGGTTATAACCTCCCTGTGAGAGACAGACAGGTCACTTCAACTTACTTCACTTCACATTCATGCAACGTGTGTATGTTGTGTGTGTACCTCCAGTATGAGTAGGATCCGCCCCCCAGCCAGTGACATCAGCAGGTGTGTGAGGTGGGCGTATCCCTCAGGGGTCACATGATATCCACCCAGTGGATCTCCTCGAGCTGCATCGAAACCGGCCGACACCAGAACCAGACCCGGGTTAAACTGTAGAGAGAATGTGATGAACGGAACCATAACTAGCAGAGAAAGGCACAGACCGACCCCCAGACTATCGCAGACCGACGCCCAGACTAGGGCTGGGCGGTATGACCAAAAATGCATATCACGGTATTTTGTAAGATTCTGGCGGTTTCACGGTATATCACGGTATTTTTTTTTACGCGTTAAAGCATTAATTAATTAACGCCAAAAAGAACCTGCCGGCAAGCGAGTGGTGAACAGCTGTTTGTGTGGCGTGTCTTCCATTCCGTCACTTCCTGTTTCCTTCACCTATAGGAACTGGGTCCTAAGTAATTTTATAAATGTACAATTATTACTAGTCCTAAGCCCCTCCATGTACAGCTTCTTATCACCCTCTATGTACCAACGTACATTTATAACAAATACCACACATATTACGGTAATCAGCGTTGCATATGTGTCTGACCTAAATACCTTTTGTTGTTCAGTCTTTGTTCATCCTGCATCGCTCTGCTCTGTTCTTTAATGTAACGTTACTGGATCGACAGAGCCTCTCCCAGCTGTTAGCAGACTGTTGTTAGCGAGCTGTACCCGGCATGCAGTTCGGCGGTGAAATTTTATAAATGTACAATTATTACTAGTGTTAGAAATTGTTTGTGTGTCACAAACTGTTGTGTCGTGGTGTTTGCCCTGTTAAAGATCATTAGTTGTGGGTTGTTAATTGTTGTTATAAAGTTATAACCATGACTAGGGTTCCCTCTCAATACACTTAAGATAACTAGCTCCGACCATAGCGCTCCCAGTCTGCTGTCTGATCCACACTCCGGACCAGAAGGTGGCGGTAATGCACCAATAAGATGGATGCCAACCGCCGTAAAACTAGAAGAAGTAGTAGCAGCGCTCTCAGCGGCGAACACTATATGTTGCTGCCTGTTGAAGAGCGACAGAAGTTGTTTCGGCTGTATGACGGTATATGAAAAATTCATATCGTACAGGAAATTAAAGCCCAGCCCTAACCCCTACCATCACAGACTGACCCCCTACCATCACAGACAGACCCCCTAACATCGCAGACAGACCCCCTAACATCACAGACTGACCCCCAGACCATCGCAGACTGACCCCCAGACCATCGCAGACAGACCCCCAGACCATCGCAGACAGACCCCCTACCATCACAGACCGACCCCCAGACCATCGCAGACCGACCCCCTACCATCACAGATAGACAACCCTACCATCACAGACCGACAACCCTACCATCAGACTGACCCCTACCATCAGACAGACCCCCTACCATCAGATAGACAACCCTACCATCACAGATAGACAACCCTACCATCACAGACCGACAACCCTACCATCAGACTGACCCCTACCATCACAGACAGACCCCTACCATCACAGACAGATCCCTAACATCGCAGACTGACCCCTACCATCGCAGACAGACCCCCTAACATCACAGACAGACCCCTAACATCACAGACCGACCCCCTAACATCACAGACAGACCCCTACCATCACAGACAGACCCCCAGACCATCGCAGACAGACCCCTAGACCATCGCAGACAGATCCCTACCATCACAGACAGACCCCCTACCATCACAGACAGATCCCTAACATCACAGACTGACCCCTACCATCACAGACAGACCCCTACCATCACAGACAGACCCCTACCATCGCACTGACCCCTACCATCACAGACAGACCCCTACCATCGCAGACAGATCCCTAACATCGCAGACTGACCCCTACCATCGCAGACAGACCCCCTAACATCACAGACAGACCCCCTAACATCACAGACCGACCCCCTAACATCACAGACAGACCCCTAATGTCACAGACAGACCCCCTAACATCACAGACTGACCCCCAGACCGTCGCAGACAGACACCCTAACGTCACAGACTGACCCATAACGTCACAGACTGACCCCCTACCGTCACAGACTGACCCCAGACCGTCGCAGACAGACCCCCTAATGTCACAGACTGACCCCTAATGTCACAGACTGACCCCTACCATCACAGACAGAACCCAGACCATCGCAGACAAACCCCAGACCATTGCAGACAGACCCCAGACCATCACAGACCGACCCCCAGACCATCACAGACTGACCCCCTAACATCACAGACTGATCCCTAACATCACAGACTGACCCCCAGACCATCACGGACTGACCCCAGATCAGAGGACTCCATCACTGAAGTGTGTGTTTCTGTGTGTACCTCGGTGGCGATCGGCATGACCACACTGTGAAAAGCAGCAAGGTAGTCCGAGTCTCCCATCCGCCCGCCGCTCCACGCCACGTTGACGTTAAACCCCGCCCCCTTGGAAACGCCCACCCTGTCGGGGGCGGCGTCTTCCGAAGACGGGAAGAACGTCCCGTTGTCATAGCGATGGAGGGAGATGTATAGGACGCTGGAGACAGAGAGAAAACTTTTCACTTTAATTCATTTTACATCACTTTACTTCACTTTAATGTTCCCCATAAATCTTTGCATCCATTCACTTTACTTCAGTCTCGTCACACTCACCTGTCGTCATCCTCGAACATGTGCTGCGTCCCGTTGCCGTGGTGAACGTCCCAGTCCAGGATGAGGACTCGCAGAGGTGCATCATGGGATATTTCCTGGGCGTGGCGAGCAGCGAGAGCTGCCGTGTTGAAGAAACAGAAACCGCACGGAGAATCTCTCTCTGCGTGATGACCAGGAGGACGAACGATGGCCACGCCGTTACTCACCTGAGAGACGGACAGGTACACTGTACAGCAGGTACTGTAGTATTTATACTGTAGTATGTATACTGTA